TCCCTACACTTCACAGCAATCAAACCAACCCCAAAGTCACCAACACCCAAACACCATCTCAAACTAACCAAGCTCTGCTTCCTACACCCAACCGCCACACACCCAACTCCCAGATCCGTAATCCCTTCACACCTCCCCATCCACAGTTTCTCCAGATTCGCCAACGCCGCCAACGCCGCCACCGCCGAATCCCCGATCTCCGTCGCGTTCGACAGATCAATCTCCTTCAAATTCCAGCAATTCATCGCCAAACTCATCCCCCCCGCAGCCGAGAAAAACCTCGACTTCGAGAGATCTATGGAACGCAAATTGGAACCGCATGCATTGGAGATTTGGGCAAGGTTGGGGTCGGTGATTCTGGGGCAGAGCGTGAGGTCGACGCGCGTGAGGTTTGGGAATCGGGTGAGGAGTTTCGGGAGGTGTTGGAATGAAGTAGTGAGGCGAGAGGCGAGAGGCGAGAGGAGAGGAGGGAGGCGAGAGGCGAGGACAGCAGAGGAGAGGAGAGACTGAGGTGAGGACGAGGGATTTAGGAATTAGATTTTGGGCTACAGGCTTCAAAACGGCCGGGTCGGGGCATTGCGGGTTCAAGAATGCCCGACCCGCCCCAACCTGCACAGTACGGGTTGGGACCATTTTAATCCGAAAAAAAAAATAAAAAAAATAAAAACCTATTTAGTCGGGTCGTGTGGGTCGGATCGTGCGGATTTTTCAGGTTCGAGCTTAATTCTTACACCCGTAGTCACAATGCCCGGTAACCAAAGAAAAAAAGAAGAAAAATTGTCTGCGTTGCTTTGTAAATTTCTAGTGAGGATTTGAAAGAAGTTGAGACAGTGATGAGTGAGTGATCAAGAAGTTTTTGGCAAAAATTGAAATTGTGTCGTTATAATTTTGAAGCCAACAATTCAATAGAAACAAGCACGATTTGTAACAAAAGTTTAGTAAGGTCGCTCGTCTTTCATTGATCAATGACTTCAATTGGTTGGATTATAATATAGCTGCAAGTTTAGATCAAAATTAAACAAGTTGGTATGAGAGTCATAAGTTTAGATCAAGTTAAAAGAGCTGGTATGAGACCTGTTACTGTTGATCCGTTCTGAGGTTTCGAGCCTAAAAATTTATTTGGGCCGGCCTAGCTCGGTCCGAACGCCTTCTTCTCAAAGATTTTTTAAAAAAAAAATACCTTATAAAATTTTCAGTTGGACCAAGTCGGCCCTAAGCATTTTGGGTTTTAGAGCCGAGTTAGACTAACGCTCTCTCCTTTAAAGTTTGGCCGGCCCGGCCTAAAGGAACAGAGGGACAAATCAAGGATTTAATTTTAGTGAGGGCAAAAAAAGGCATATGAATTATATATATACTTGAATCAAAAATTGGGGAGCGTTAGCTTAATAATAAAAATTTATGTAGGGGGAGTGTTAACTTTCTATGTGCTTAATAATAAAAATTTATTACTCTCAATAACTGTTAGATATAGAATTCAAAAGTAAATTTAATACGACTAATAATTTATTATTCACATCCTAACTAAGATAATACAATAAATCTGAAAAAAGGGAAGAAAACAAATATAAGTATCATATTTAAATCTAACAAATTCTCACATTCTTATTATATTTGACGAATAAATTTAAATTTACATACATTATGAAGAAAATATTTTAAGGAATAATCAAAATAATGAATGGAATTTTTTTAGAAGTAAATTGAGAGAAAAGAAAAGGGTGTTCGAGAAGATGAGAATGGAGTTGAATAGGCAGGTAGTTTAGAAGAATGCGAGAAATATTAGAATACATATAAATAGGGAAGT